AAAGCAGACGAAGGGATGAACTGGGGGAAGATGGGAGGAAGGTAGACTGCATGCGTTTGACCGGGTCAACCAAAGCCTGAGCATTGTTTCCATGATGAATGGCTCAGGACTGTGTTTATTTGACTGTTTTCTGAAGGACCAGGCATTGTTTTCAAGGTGAATGACCTGGTTGCTGTGTTTATTTAGTTGTTTTCTGGGGAACCAGACATTGTTTCCATGGTGAATGACCTGGTTGCTCTAGTTAACTCTGGGGGTTTGCCTGAGTGAAGGAGTTTAAGTTCTTGTTTATTCTGAGGGAGGATTTCTGGTCTAAGGCTAAGTATTGTTTCCATGGTGAATGGTTTAGCCTGAAAACCACACACATAGGTTAAACTGAGTAAAAAGGGGAAGTATTTTATGTATATTTGCATGTGAACTGACAACTGGGCATTGTTTCTACTGTGAATGGTCCAGCGTTAAACCATATCATTAAGAAGGGAAAAAGGGAAATACAAAGTATAAATGAAAATAGTTTGGGCAAGCTGAACATTGTTTCTACTGTGAATGGTTCAGCCCCCTGCCCATATTTATTTTTTCTTTTTGAAAACAAAGTCAGAGAAATACTAAAACCTTGGATATTAAACAGCTCAGGGCGGCTAGGCATTGTTTCCATGGCGAATGACTTAGTCATCTGCCCAAAAGAAGAGAGAAGAAGTTGTGCAACCTGTTCGTGTATATCATGAAGACAAGCTGGGCATTGTTTCCATGGCGAATGGTGCAGCTCTATGTCTTATGTAAGATGAGTATAAGGATCAAGAACTTGAAGATTCATGAACTATCTATATGGAATAAACTTGGGGTGGTGAGAGTACTTACATTGGTGGTTTGGTTTGCATGTGACTGAATGGGATGGCTTGTTTGTTTAAGTTTCATTACTATAGGTAGTTGTTGTAATTGCTCGCCACGTGCTAGAGCCATAAGAGTTAGTGTCAATTCCTGTTTTTTCTGTGATAACGTTTTTTTTACTTAGGTCAATTCCTGCATTTTCTGAGATCTTTTCTTATTCTTGGCTTTGTATAAATCTTGGCAAGCTACTTTTCCTACGGAAAGCGCTGCCGAAATTTTTACAAATCAAGAAGTTAGTCAACTTTTGACTTGTCAGAGTTCAGCTTGTCTTTTCCATATATGGATTAGTATAAATCTGGAAAGTCTCATTTTCTAGAGGGAGTGTTGTCCAAATTTTTACTAATTCAGGGAGTTAGACAAAATTGGACTTTGAGAA